CTCTTCCCACTCCTCTCTTCTCTTTGGATCAGCTGTGTCTGGGTGACGTCGCGACATCTCCCCTACATTAATTTGGCGTATATTGTTGTTTGTTAGATACATACAAAATGTATGTAAATAAACACATACAATTCCCCTCCTCTCAAGAAATATATATTTTATAAAAAAAGTTTCTATGCCCCCTCACTCCTTCTTCGAGTGTCGCAAAGTGGGGGAAATTGCCACTAGGCCTATGATTTATTCAAGTGTGTCAAACTCATAACAGATTATGTGTGTGTTGGAGTAGTAGAGTATGGGGCATAACGGTACGCAGACTGTGAGTGAGTAATTAAACGACTCATAAACTGTGTGGGGTCATTTACTCTTGGGTAAAGTTGGGGTGGGGAAGCAGGACACAAAATTTAATATAAAAAATAAAGCAATTTATAAGTTTAGTTGGAAATAGGAACAGGCAGGGGGTGTAAGAATAAAGGTGGGAATAAATAAAGCGCTTATTTGGCTGGCTTAAGTCATCGTCTGTGTTCTTCGTAGATGAACAAAGAAGTTTTAGGTTGACTTAGTTCGATTTTGGCCCTAGGCTTCTTTGATCATTTCCGAAGAAGCCAGGCGATGACTTAAGCCAGCCAAATAAAGGTGCAAGTACATAAAAAGCTTAAAGTCATGGCTAGGCATATTAATGTCAAATTACGATGGAAAACGACGGCAGGATTTTAGTGCGACTCTGTAATCCCTATATGAAATGTCACAAAATATGCCTAGCCAAGACTTAAAGCTTTTTATGTACTTACACCTTAAGTGCTTTATGTTTTCGATAAAAAAAAGATATAATGTCTACAATAGGTGTATACCTTTTCAGATTTACTAAGTAATACCATGTTTACGTTAGAACTTTTTGTACGGTTAACCAACTTTGAGAGGATTTATTTGAAGTATAAGTAATGGATATGACAATTGTAATCCAAATCCAGTCGGTTAACCCATTTATATATAAACGTACTGTAACATTTTGCACATGGTAGAAGCATACAGGTAGATGCTTAGAAACATTGATATATCAACAATTTTAAAATGTTTTTTTTTTTTTTTGTTTTTCAAAAATAAGTAGATTTGTACATGTTTTTTTCTACGACGCAAATCAGAGGCCGTTATGGTATTCATTATTCAACTAATTTACAAATTTCAATAATTTTCCATTCAACATTTTCACTTCCAAAATCGGTTTGACAGTTCATTGTTCCAGCAGCTGTGTCGATGCGACTAACTGTATTCTTCTACCATTATTTTGCAGTAGAGTGATAGTATGTTCACAGAAGAGTTTTTGCCGAGTTAAACCTTTGACGTATATGCAATGGAATGGGAATTGAAATCCACAGGGTTTATTTAATTCTGCAAACTGTAAACGTACAATGGCCGATTATTACATGATGTTGTCGGACAAATAAGTCGTTTTATCTTATTTTAGTTTTATTTAAATGTGAACTGTCCGATAAACAAAAGGTCAGACCATCTTCACTTTATATTTTAATATAAAATTTATTGAATTCATGTTGCCATATTTTATATTGATAATATGGCAATAACAGCTTAATTTATTCAAAAAAGGACAACGAATTGCATCATTTATTTTATATTGAAGAACTGAATCAAAGACTTATAGTACGTTTATATATATATGAGGGTTAACCCACTGGATTTGGATTTAAATTGTCACATCCATTACTTTTACTTCAAATAAATCCTCTCAAAGTAGGTTAACCCTACAAAAAGTTCTAACGTAAACATGACATTGGGGTGGAAATACATAAAGCGCTTATCTGGCTGGCTTAAGTCATCGGGTTGCTTCTTCGTAGATGATCAAAGGAGTTTTAGGTTGACTTAGTTCGAATTTGGGCATAGGCTCCTTTGTTCATTTCCGAAGAAGCCAGCCAGATAAGCGCTTTATGTATTCCCACCTTTACTTTACGGAATTAATTACAAATTAGCTTTGTTTATTATTTTTAACCTAAAATAAAGATGCTAATGTGAAAAGAATGCAGTGAATACCAGTTACATTGTCATATCTCTGAAAAAATGTTTTTATTTCAAAGTAAAGAAATAAAATCGTAAAACGGATGGCTTTCAGTAAGAATTACCAAAAAAATTGTTTGTAAACGAACATGTCTTTATATCTTCCGCCAAAAAAATAGAGGTAATCTAATGGTAGACGCATCGACGCAAATTGTTGATATTTGAAAATTTTTTGAAAAATACATATCATAGCAACCTTCAATTTACGTCGTACAAGAAAACGTATAAAAATTTGCTTATTTTTGACAACATTTTTTAACAATTTTGACATATCAATGTTCACAAACGTCCTACCATGGGTAATCTGGTTGCATATATGATTTTAATCAGAGTTCATTCTATTTCTTTACTTCAAACAACCTGAAAACACGATATTGCCATAACTAGTTCCGTCGCCCTTTCCAGTGAATTATTAAAATGAACTGGGTCGTTTGTACATAGCATCGACACAGCTACTGCAATATTGAACTGTCAAATCGATTTTGGAATTGTTTAACGAATTTTTTTTTTTTGAAATTTGTAAAAATTGTTAAAAAAAATACATATCCTAAAAACCTACTATTAGCGGCGTATAAGAAAACTTAAAAAAATCTCCCTATTTTTGACAAAACATTTTGAAAATTTTTAAGTATCAAAGTTCCCCAGCGTACTCTTCTACCATGTTCAATAGGAAGCAAGGCCCAGTTATTAACGGTCTGTTCCACTGTATCGAAAGAAAATGTGTGCGATTAAAAGCTGGTCACTCACTTTCGCACAGTGTTGCCACCAAGGAGGCTGTGTGATAATATTACACATTTTGGGAAAAGTTACACATGTATCAAAATTTTTTTAATCAAAGTTTTTTTTTTAACAAAATTATTATGCAATCCAAAAACAAACGTAAAATTATTTTATAGCAAATTTAAATAATAATTTATAACTAAAAAATATATTAGTGCGTGTTTCTGAAATTTGTTTTACAATTATTTAAAGTGCTAGATACTCGATTTCTTAAGTCTGGAGTATTCTGCAATTGACTTATTATCTTCAAATTACCCTCTATTACAGAGAGTAGTGTTTTTCAAAAAGAAACTGATAACTTTACAATATTTGCTGATCGCTAAAAATATCATGAATTCATTCCGGCGAAGAGATTGATCACTTAGCTTTTTTAGCATTTTGATTGGACGATTTTGGCGAAAAGTAAGCACTTTAAGTGTCAAACATTCTCCAGTAAATGAGAATCGTGCTCACTTCCTGACTTTCCCAAAATCATCAGCTAAATATTCTTTCTGCAATAGTAAAACTATAAATTACACATGCCACCAATTACACATGGGCTACACATGCAACAAAAAATTACACACAATAGTTGTGTTCCAGTACTTTTCTAGTAGTAAAACTAGCAGAAGAGAGAACAGTTCGAAATGTCATTCACAATTAGGTGTGCTCAAAAAATAAGGGAACGGAAAATTAGCAAAAATGCGATAAAATGTCAAAATTCTAAATTCCAAGAGTAAACAGTCCAAATCGGACTGGTGAAACCTTAATGAAACGGACGCCAAAATTTAAAAAAATTAGTATTGAAGACGATACGTTAAAATTAATAATCTATAATAATAATTAATAATCTGATTCATCATTCAGCCAGTCCTCTTCACTACTGGAATCATCCAAAAGTGCTCCATATTTTCTCTTTTTGTTTTTTTTTTGCACTACAAATATTAGTTTTTCCTTTAGTTTTTAAGTTGATCATTTCTTTATTTTTGTTATGACGCGGGAACATTAAAAAGTATCAATACATTTTTCAACCTTGTAAGCCCTGCCAATTAAATGTCAAATTTAAAATTTGCACATTTCTGCTCGGCCAGATTCATGTAGCTGAAACAAGCAGAAATGTGCAACACTCAGCCATTTTTTTCTCGAGAGAGCTGCAAGTTTTGCTAGTTTTTGCAGTACGGGAACGCGTTGTAGCAGAATTAGTACTAATTAGTACTAATTTGTAGGTTCTGGAACACATCTAATATGTGTAATTACACATGAGGTGGCAACACTGCTTTCGTATCAGATTGCGTCCCATTAACATTCTTTCTTTCTTTCGCATAGCCTTACGTAACTATATGTTGCTAAACATACCTTTGACAAATTAATAGCGAAATTAAACAAAAAGCGCGAAAATTATAGATTCAAACGCGTCAGCTGGCTCTGTCTGAACTGACAAATCAGTTGTAAATAAATAAACAAAAAAACATTCCGAGTTCCCCAGTGGTTGTGTTCAATTTATTTATTTATTCAAAAAATTAAAAATGAATATTTCTGTTGCTCCATAGTATATGGATGATGTGGAGGAGTCTGTTGCTTCCAAATATTGCCACACCTCTGGCAACACAGGACTCTTTTCCATATAATCAACTAGTGCCCGCAGCTCTGTAGTAGATGACTTTTTCGTGCAGGAATTGTATTTATTATTTTTACTCATATTTTGTTTCGATTTTCAATCAGAGCAATAATTATGTCGAAACACTTCTCCAAAATTATAACCAGACGGCAGCAATAACACAAGTGACTGATTTTGACATTTGTGATCACACGCGTGCGAAGGAAAAAAGTGTAACGCAAAATTACACTGAAATGCTTAAATTTTCGTTCGATTTTATATTCGTACAATTTTTCATTCTGATGGATTGTAGTGAGACGGAAATCAGCTGTTTGTCAGATCAATAAATAAAATCGAAAACATGTGTTCCCCCCCTAAAAGTGTGCTATTTAAGTGTCCATGGCTATACGAACGTTTAAAAAGAAATGTTTCATTACCAAGATTAGATTCTAAATTTCAAACATACCCACGCCCAAACTTATCAGCATAATTGGCAAGTAGAGCTGATGAAACACCAGCATATTGTTATGAAACCCATCAAATTTGACGAATATTTACTTCAAACGCATTTTTCAAATCCAGGGGGGGGTGAGTGTGGTGTAAATTAAAAATAAAATCAACAAAACAAAACGAAACGAAAAAAACATCTGGACATTTGAAAACCAATATCAATATCAGACAATTAAAATAGAAATCAAGCGATTACTAACAGCCAGTTCCACGATATCGAAAGAACACGTTCGCACAACTTTTACACGACAAACAGCTGATTTCCGTTCCACTAAAATCTATCAGAACGAAAATTTCGAACGAAAACGTAAGCATTTCAGTGTAATTTTGCGTTCCACTATCTTTTTTCTTTCGTACGCATGCGAACACAAATGTCAAAATCAGTCACTTGTGTGTTTGCTATCGTATAATAACAATTAAGGAAAATTGTTTTAACATAAACATTGCTTGATTGAAAATGGAAACAAAAATGTAAGTAAAAATAATAAATGCAATTTAATATGTGAACAACAAATATATATTTTTTTTATTCTCTCAATTCCAGCACGAAAAAATCATCAACTACACAGCCGCGGGCACTAGTTGAGTGAATGGAGGAGAATCCTGTGTTCGCCAGAGGAATGCCAATTTTTGGAAGCAGCAGAAGAAGTTTTAAATCGGGGCGGATTTGGGTAGTTCTGCAACCGGGCACCCACTTCTCTTCCATCATATCCAAAAGAGCCCGAAAACTTCCTTCGACACACGAAAGTTGGCCACAAACCTAGAAAAAATCATTTTTTATTATTTCAAAAATGTAAAAATACAATCATACTTACTGGTTGTTAGGTACTTCAAATAAATTCGAAGCATCTCTTAAATGCCTCCGTGGCACATTTCGAACCTCCTCCATAAAAAATAGGGCTACGGAAATATTCTTTTTTTTATTTTCTAAGAGCTCAAATAGTTTGAACACAATCACTAGAAATTTTATTTTGTTTGTTTATTTACAATTTGTTTGTTTACAACTGAAATGTCAGTTGAGACAGAGCCACTGCTGCTTTTTCGCGTTTAAATTAGACATTTGACGCTTTTTTTGCTTTATTTCGCGATTAATTTTTCCAAAAAAATATTTAGCAACACTGAATCACGTAAGGCTATGCGAAAGAAAGAACGAAAGTTAGTGGAACGCATTCTTATACGAAAGTGAGTGAGTAGCCTTCGTTCGCACAAATTTTCTTTCGAGATCGTGGAACAGGCTGTAATATTTCGCATGAGTACTTAATGACTTATAGCAATTGCAACAACAACAACAACAACAGTAATGACAAAAAACACTGAGCAATTGTTGTTTGACCATTTAGAAAAAATCTACAAGTCATGCATGCATGCATGCCTGACAACAACTACCACCAGACAACACACAGTTGGTGAAATTAGAGGAGATGCCGCCACATACAGAACCACTTCGCTGTTGAACTTTAAACTTTGCACAATCACTAAATGAGTAATAATTAAGGTGCAGGGATGGAAAGTCAAAACTTCTAGAGAAAAGAATTTAAAATTTGCACAGCGTCTAAATGAGTAATAAATAAGATGCAGGGTTGAAAGTCAAAACTTGTAGAGAAGAGAATTTAAAATTTGCACAACCCATAGTAGAATTAAGAAGGTAAAGTCATGCAAACATATGTTTACAATTTTTTTTTTTTTTTTTTCAAAATTATTCATTTGACAACATCTCATTGTCAAAATGTATATCTATGAATCCATTGTACACATAAATCAGAGATGGGAACCTGTTTTTTATTTGGTGAAAATTGACAAGGTAAATTACAGAAAATGTAGAGAAGGATAGTCTTATTTGAAATGGCTTTAATTTTTTAATTTTTCCATCCACAAACACTACAGGGTGAGATGAAAAAATTGCAAGAAAGTCAAAAGCCATAATTTTTACATTTTCATACCCTCCACCATACTATGGAGGGTATATTAATTTTGTCATTCCGTTTGTAACTCCTAGAAAAACTCATGTCAGACCCAACAAAGTATATATATTCTTGATCAGCGTAAAATTCTAAGACGATTTAGCCATGTCTGTCTGTCTGTCCGTCTGTCTGTCTGTTGTAATCACGCTATCTTTCGAACAAATTGAGATAGAAGGCTAAAATTTTGCACACATGTATATTTTGCCAGTAGGCAGGTTAAGTTCGTAAATGGGCCATGTAGCTCCAAGTTCTCATATAGCCCCCATATAACGGTACCCCCCGATATTCGGTATTTTGATGATTTTACTCACGTTATTCACCGGAATTGTTTCAAATTTGGCATTTGAAGTTCGTAATAGATACTACAACATAAGACAGAAAATTATCTGTGCAGGTCCACGCCTTCGTGTAGTCCCCATATAACGGTACCCCCCGATATTCGGTATTTTGATGATTTTAGCGACATTGTTTACCGGAATCGTTTCAAATTTGGTATTTGATGTTCGTAACGGATATTACATCCTAAGTCAAAAAATGAGCCATGTAGGTCCACGTCTTCATATAGCCCCCATATAACAATACCCCCCGATATTCGGTATTTTGATGATTTTAACGACATTATTTAACGGAATCGTTCCAAATTTGGTATTTGAAGTTCGTAATAGATACTGCAGCATAAAACAGAAAATGGGCCATGTAGGTCCACGTTTTCGTATAGCCCCAATATACCTTCCCCCCGATATTCGGTATTTTGATGATTTTAGCGACTTTATTTACCGGAATTGTTTCAAATTTCGCATGGGAAGTTCGTAATGGATACTTCAGCCCATGCCAGAAAATTGTCTCTGCAGGTTCACGTCTTCGTATAGCCCCCATATAACGGTACCCCACATATTCGGTATTTTGATGATTTTAGCTACATTATAAACAGATTTTTCTTCAAGTTTCGCATTTAAATATTGTAATAACTAATGACAAAAGTTGCCTATGCAGGTCCAAGTCGTCGTATAAGCATTCGGTATTTTTAAAATTTTAACAGAATTTTTAACGGATTTTATTTTATTTTTTTTTTTTGGAAATTGCCAAATTTGTACCAAATGGTGGAGGGTATTCAAAGTTCGGCCCGGCCGAACTTACAGCTTTTTAACTTGTTATATTTTATTGAATAATAGCAAAAAATGTCGGAAATAGCATCAAATTTTAGAATAAGTTTAGATTCGTTCGAATAGTCACCTTTCGCACGAATTAGGGCCTTCAAATGGCCAATGAAACCATCACACACTGCCCGAATGTTGCTCTGCGGTATTTTGGTCTATTCCCGGCGAAGCGCTTTCTTGAGGTGATCGTCACTTTGGTAGTTTTTAGTGTCAACCTTGCATTCCAAAATACTCCAGACACAATAGTCCAACGGATTTGTATCCGGAGATTTTGGTGGCCATTGTGCGTTGGAAATGAACCGAGAAACCTCATTTTGCGACTATTCTTGGGTGGCGCGTGCTGAGTCCTTTTGGAATGTCCAAGGTCTGCGTCCAAAATGTTTGTGGGCCCAAGGCTTTAATACATGCTCCAGAATATTTTCGCAGTAATATTCGGCATTTATGCTGATGCCACAGTCGATAAATAGGAGCGGAGAGCGACCATGGGCTGTTATGGCGGCCCACACTATCACCTTAGCCGGCACTTGAGTTCTGCTGGCCAACCGAAGGTGCACATTTTCAGCTGACCTCCTTGGCAAATAAACGCGATCATTTTGTTTGTTTATAAACTGCTGGACAACGAATGTTTTCTCGTCGGAGAAAACCAAATTCGGCAGTTCACCACTTTCGTAAAAGCCAAGCAACTCTTTAGCTCTTCTGAGCCTATTTTCTTTCTGATGCGGTGTAAGTTCTTGCACTTTTTTGAATTTCACTGGCTGTACTCCGAGCTCCTTTTTCAATATTTGCCGAATGGAATATTGCGATATGTTCAGCTCACGAGCCATTTTTCGGCCACTGCAAAGCGGGTTTCAATCAAGTCTCATCTTTACTTTTCGAACCATTTCTGCTTGTGTTGCTGTTTTCTTCCGTCCACTTCCTTGAAGTCGGGCTACGCTATCAGTATCACGGCGATGGTACGAGACACAAAAGATTTATTTTCATTCAAATGCTGGAGGGTTCTAACGATAGCCACTTATGGTTTTCTAGCCAAATATAAAGAAATCACACAACCACGCTTGAATTCCATACGAATAATTTCTTTTCTGGAAAATTCTCACCAAGATGCTTTTGTACCCTTGTAAACAATATAATGAGCTGTCACTGGAATAATTTTAACAGCTCTCGGACGAGTGGCTTAGAAATGACAGCAGTCTGAAGTTGGTTGCAGTTTTATCGTCTCACACAGTATATGAACAAATAACATTGAACTGACTCACGGTTCGAGCGGGCTGGAAATCATTTTAAAAACCGAACCATGGTTCAAAAGTAGATTTAAGGTGAGAATACATAAAACGCTTCATTAACTGGCTTAAGTCATCGACTGGCTTCTTCGTAGAGGCCTCACGCTTCTTTGTTCTTTTCCGAAAAAGCCACCCGATTACTTAAGCCAGTCAAAAAAGCGTTTTGTGTATTCTGACCTTAAGTAAATGAACCGGATCAACTGAAATCGAAAATTTTTTACCAGTCCTCTAAATTGAACCTTTACATAAAACGAACAATTGTATTGCAACTTCCATCCCTGAATGCCCAATTGATATTATGGTGTCGCCCTGTTGTACAAATTGTGACTCAATACAAATTTCCTCATTACTAACCTTCTAATGCAGGTTGGTGATGCGTCACGTATTTTACGTGGGGCTATCCACCACCTTAATGCTAAGTTGTGTCATCAGCTGATTTCGTTCGCATTTCAAACAATGATAACAGCTGATTAGAGGGGCTTTATTTACATTGTAGTCATCATGTAGTTAAGTCGCTAAGAGTTTGAGAGAGAGAGAGTGGAAGGGAGCTTGAATTATACAAGAACTAATACGAATATAGCTAAGTAAAGAAACCGCCATAAACGATATTTTATGTAATTTCTAAAAATATAATTCTCTAAGAACACACACTCACACCACCATTAAAAAACCTTGCACGTGTATCACGAATTCGAATGAAAAGAAAAGATGTGGGCTTTACAAATTGTCGCATTTACAAGTGGCCAGTTAAAAATAGTTGTTGTTAGCTATTATTTCAGCTAGACAAAACATAATCTCATTTCCCTCCATCATTCTTTTCCGCTCACACACGTAAGGTTTCCCCAACACACACACACACACACACCACATAATCAGTTTACAAAGTTGTCATAAAAATAGCCAGCATTTGTGGTCAGTTTTACTACCGCTCGGCATTGTGTAGTTCTATTGGCGAAGGTCTTCAATGTAATAGGAATATTTGTAGCTATGCGGTAATTATTATGGGGTCTTTTGTCATAATTTATATTTTCAGAAGGGTGTGTCATTTTTGTTTTGATGAGGGATTGGAAAGAATTTGATATTTTAGTAGGGGATTCTATAACAACTCTTACGTAAATATATGATTTGATGTGAACTACCCTAGTAGTCATTAGCTGATAAGATATCATTTAGTGTGAACTGCATTAATACCAATCATCTGAATATCAGCTGATTAACATCTGTAGTTTCAAGTATTGTTATAGTGCGATTAGATACAATGTTTTATCCGGATTTTATCTGAACAGTTTCGCAAAAATGACGGAGATACAGCCCTGAAGCTATGGCCGCTACCTGTCAGAATTTTTCAAAATTTTATGCAACAAGTGGTTTTTAATTTTTGGATATTTTTTCTCATTTTTATAATGAATGGGTGGTCTTTTGTTGTTGCAAAATGGTCAGGCTTAATCCCATTATTGTT